GCAATCAGTTGAATCTTTCATGAACAAAAACCTTGACATAAAAAACCAATAAGCTAATAAAGTTACCGCTTGAAAATGCCAATATTACTGTTGGAGAAATGTTCATCAGCCATAGCAAAGAGCAAAATAAACAAATTCGCAGTGAAGTTTGCCAGATCAAGAAAAGAAATACAACCACGAAGTATAATTAAACAGAACGGGACTAGAAATAGTTCGAAGTTGCTAAAAGTAGCTACTAAGACTGGCTTCATACGTTTTTCACTCTCCTTGCAATCTTAATCAGAAAACATAGAAAAGGAAAAGCCAAAGGCGACCAGAATGTGGATTCCCAAGCTGTTAATAAGTATGCCAATGACTGTTTCCTCAATCAATTTAAGTCAGTTCCCTTTCCCCTGCTGAATTTGCTGAAGAAGAGCTGCTGCCAACTGCAGTGTAGCCTGCAATCGCTTCTGGGGGTCAGCTTCTGCATCCTCTTGGCCAGCATTTTGAAGCTGTTGATTCATTTGAGGTGCAGCGACCGAATTTGGAGTCTGCTGTTGCTGCTGGAACTGTTGCACTTGACCAAATTGTGCTGACGAGAACTCTGAAGACACCTGGTCATTTGGTAAACCATAATTCTGTGAGGGTATGGATGAATATCCGGACTGATTCATGTTCTCTGCTTGTCTGTAACCTTCGCCAGTCAACCCACTACTCAATTGCCCCTGTTGACCAAGAAGGGTTGAAGCTAGCTGAGCTAGTTGTTCCGGTCGAAATCCTGCAGAAGGCAATGGTGAAGGGAGGGGAGGTCTTTCCTGAAGGGGCAACTTTCCATTCCCACTTGAAGAAGTACCCGACATTTCGGATGTGTAATTGTTTTGAGATGTCTCCTGCACAGACCTAGGTAATGCAGAATACCCCATGGATGCCTGTGATGAAATATTCGGTGCGTTGGAATTCAGGTTCTGCAAATCACGGAGAGGCCAGTTCGTTCCAGATGCAAGCTTTTGCTGATGGAGCAGATGATCATGTTGTTGTGTATTAAAGGGCTCATGCAAATTACTAGTAGAATGACCGGATCCCGAAAATGGTGCAGCTAGACCACCTGAAGACAAAGCTCCCGAAATAGGTGGAGCACTTATTACAGGTCTCTCGAAATTCTTAAAAGAATGATTGGGCAAGTAGCGGTCTGAAGGTGAGATAGGCTTCTGGTAGGGGGAATTACCTTGGAAAGATGTAAAAGTAGTTTCTTTGTTCTGATGTTGGGGAGGGGACCCATAGCTGGAACTTTGAGGCTCTAACCTTAAAATAACACCAGAAATGCTCAGTTTCCCTGGTACTTTCAGTACTTTCTCTGAGAATTCTGAGGGAGGTACAAGAAACAAGGTTGTCCTTTCATCCAATTTAGCAACAGCTGCTCGCTGTTTCTCACCCAGATAATTCCTGAACTCGTTATAAAATGCCATGTCCGGATCAGTTGCCGGAACAAAGAAGACAACCCAAGCACTAGCTGCCTGGTAGTAATGCTTAGCAAGCATGTCTAAACTAGTCCTTGCTGTGCAATCTAAATATTCCGGCCTGCAGCATTATAACTTTTATTGAGTAATTTGATAGAATAAGTCCACTCAATGATGTCTAATCAACATACATATAGATCTCGCGTAACATTGCTAACACAACTTCGGTATTCCTGCTTCTTACCTATTTTCATTTTATTTTCAATTTAGTTTTTAATAAATTATTCAAAAAGAAAGCATAAAAGAGAGGTATACGAAACATTTTATTTTTTAAAATACTCTTAAATCTATTCAAGTAATCCTTATATGCTTGGAGGTTTTCACTAATTAAAATGTTTTGGAGTAATGCTATTTAACAACACTAGTGTTAAAACAGCGGTCTAGGCGGTACTAATGTAACATTAAACAAGAAGTGTAATTAAATGAATCACTTAATTCTATCTTTCATTGAGTCTATCACTTAGCGTCATCTAAACTAGTGTTATATCACCACTGGTGCTAGTAGCATTATTCAATGTTTTAATAGAGGAAAGATGCTTCAGTTCATGGGACAGACCAGTCGTGAAGATGACAGAACTCAAGCAGTTTTGAAGACCAATAAAGCAGGCTAACATAAAAAACATTAAGATATGCAAACCTATTTCCTCGAGGATTATGGGGACGGTACTTACAGGGGCATGTCCAATGGTTTTCCCACACGAAAGCACCGAGCACGACAAACAGGGGTCCCTCCCTTGGCTATTGTTCCCTCCCACTTCCATTCTTCATTCCGGGCCAATTCATGTATTTCAGGGGTCAATCTTTTGCGGTCAAGTTGAGGCAATGGAACTGAGTTGACCTGGAAATTATCATATGATGCATTCCAGTGATCACTCCTCTCCCCATAATTTTGGGTTGAGCTCATTGCACGGTCGGGGATCTGTCTATAATTGATAGGCCTGGAATCGTATTTCTTATCAAGGACCTCAGCTTGAGGAAAATCAGGATATGTCTTAGAGACAACATGTTTTACTTTTTCCGATTCTGAGAAAGGATATTCTGGAAGCTCATTTTCAGCAGGAAATGCTGTGGTCTTAAGTTTCTTTGCACCCTGCAAGTACGAGGAATCTTCAGGCAAATCCCATGGATCATCATAAAATGGACCTTGTCGAGGAAACTTCTGAGGGGAGTATTCATGAAAATGAGTATCTCTGTCTCTTGAAGGACTATTGCGATGCTCATAGATATTTCCGCGTAATCCCAGCTCAGACCTTCGTTCTGGATATCTCCTCTGCTCATTGGCAACATCTTCACTGGCCCATATATTAGCCTTTCTACCAAAAACCATGGCACCATAATCGCCAGGCTCCATATTTGGGATAAAATTAGATCTAATTCTGGGTTCTCCAGTCACATCACCAAAGCTCCTACCAGACCGGAAGTATTCAGGCGATCGCTGGCGTCCATATGACTCAAAATGTGGAGATAATGGAGCATCTATTGAATTCTTCTCTCTGTTTGATGTTCCAGAATCGCTCTTGGCAAAACATATATGTACACGAGGATTTCCAAATAACTTCCCCTGAAGAGTGTTTTTAGCCCTGCATGCTGCACTAATATTTCTAAAACGAACAAAGGCATAAGTACGCCCAGGAAATGCAGTTATCTTCTCTATCTCTCCAAATGGTGAAAATGCCTTCCTCAAAATGAATTCATCCACTTCCAATTGAGCAGGAAACCCAATCCATAAGACTTCACTGGGGTCTGCATCCTTATTATTTGTCTTGGTTTTGTCCAGATATGGTGGCTCAGGAGAGTGATATGCTCTTGACTCCCTATGTGTAAATGTAGACCCTCTTGCAGAGGGACGTGATTCATCCCGTCGTTGAGAATAGTCTGCCTCGCGTGGGGGCAATGTTGATTTTTCCTGTACATATGGAACCAAACTTAGAATGTCTATGATTTTACAGTGTGATGACTTGAAAAAAAGAATAGTTTAAGGTTTTCTGTTCCCAGAATATTCTGATGACTCCATCTTGTGTACAATCACAGCAGGCTAAATGAAAGCTGCAGCACCTCAATATATCGACCATAAACACACGCGCGCACGCAGACACACGCACAATAAATAAATAAATGAATATATTCTTATATAAATCTATCCACACAATTTGTACTATGTTTGATGAAGTGCAGCTCTTCAGCAGTCCAACTCTCTCTCCTGCCACTATTTTATTCCTTGATAATCCTTCTCATTCTCGATTTAGAATTAAGACAGGTTAGAATCCATTCAATCTCTATATGTTTCCCCAAAATTCACCAACATCAGACTTTAAGGATCCAAAATTAATTATAATTAAATATAAAAAAGTTTAGCATAGAAGTCTAAAGAATGCAGTATATACAGCATAGAAGTCAAAAAAATCTCAAAATCTATAGGATTCAGTAAGCTTCTGGCTCTGATGTATCCTACTAAAAGTAATTGTTGAAATACAAATTCACATGTATGAAAACCTTCACAAACAATGTTACGGCTCTGAAAAAAAATCTTAAGACCAGAAAATTAAAATGATAGGAATTAGCCTAGTGCTTCCACTTCAAACAAAACCATATCTGTGCTGGGCTGCGCCAATCCTTCAGAGGTATGGCATTAGTTTATGGGTATTTGAAACTTCTAAATTCTGAAGGTTGCAGGAAGATGAGTGGAAACTCAGACTGCATTTGAAACATTCAAAAACTAACATTTAAAGGATGATGCTGCACTCTGATAATACATGTCATGATGGTGGTAAATCACAATCCTGTGGAACTCAGAAATCAAGAAGAAAATCTTCTCGAGGACCAAAAGACAAGGATTCACATACTTCCACTCTGATGCAATTCAAAAAGTAAACTGATTAGGCTAGAAAACGAAGTTCATATTAATTGTCAAAACGGTTTTGAAGTTTGAACATGTCAACATCTTATGTCTGCTATGTACAGAGCATTGTCATCAAAGAGAGATGAGCTATTCTTAAGGGTTATATATAATCGTCTGAAGTAATTTGTTTGACTATAGCCAATCAAAAAACTAACCTTAATTTCAGCCCTCCAAATTATTTGGCACCATAAATAGGAAAGAGAACATGACTTGCGACTAGAAGGAGAATGTATAAGTGAAGAGGTGTAGCTCAGAGCACTGAAAGTTTCTTCCAAACATGAACGTAAACAATTGCAGCAAAATGCAAGGAATTCAACCACCTTGGTATTAATTTTTATTTATTATTATTATTATTATTATTTTTTTTTTAAATAGGAGCTTTAAGAAATTTTGTTTGTGTCAGGGGACTGCATTCACGTCCAGAAGATATACAAACAACCGAAAGAGGCTAACAGAAGGGCAAAGGGCTTATACAATCAATACAAGAGAGTGCATTCATGTCCAGAAGATATACAAACTATTGAAAGAGGCTAAGAGGTGCAAGGAAAGAGCCTCCAATCCATAAAGTATATTCCTTCAATGTTCTCTTCTTCACACCACAAAGTAAATGTCCTCAATCCATCAAGGGGAGCTTCAATTTTCAAACCATCTCCCCTTCCTTTCCCTCCACAATGAAATTAAAGACAATAAATAGCAGAAGCAATACCAGAACGTCTTTCAACAATCGCGAGACATGAAAGGAACAGAAATTCTAGTTTCTCTGTCATGTAAGACCCTGCTGATATAATGAGAAAAGAGTATAAGTTCAACCTAATACCTTGTCATGTGTACTCTATTGGTTGAATAAGCAATCAAATTCCTTTTTCATATGAGGAATTTCATTTAAAGAAACTTGTCATCATTGAAAAGCGGAGGATAAGGAATCCTCTAGCAAGGAAAACAGAAGGGGAGGACATACAACCTACATCAAATGATCCTTCCAACTGGGTCTTTATTCAGAAAGGGGAAGGCCCTTAAATTCCTTATCTGTAAATGCCTAAGCGAAGCTTAAAATCAAGTCCTTTTCGATAATCAAAAGAATCCAAATTATCTCTCTCCAAACTTGCCCCCATAATCCCCCTCAGTTTCAAATCACTCTCAAGCAAGAAATCTTTTATTTCAGCTCCCAACAAGTGCAGAAAATTTCTTATTTCAGTTCCCAAAATGTGAACAAGCAAATTCAGTGATATTCACCGTCACATTTAGTTGTTCCTTAGTTGTTAGATCCAAAAGCAAGAGTGCTCATTTAATGCACAAGAATAATAATATTTAAATATGCCCAATATGATATTCGAGAACTGTGGATTACTTTGGATCCCCCAAAAATGGAAACAATGCCAAGTGAAAGGCCGCAAAAGACCACTTGGTTCTCAATTACATTTGCAATAAAAACAAGGACATAAAATAATAACAACCCAAATAGAATGGTAGTAAGGAGCTATTTGAGATAGCATCTGTTTTTGTAGAAGAGATTCATGAGGAAGCCACATTGGTTAGTTCCTCTAAAAGTTCTTCTAATTAGATAAAGCAATTCCAAGAATTATCCAAACAGGCCCATAAGCATTTTCTTAGACTCAAAAGCAGCTTTTGACTTTCTAAAACTCTTGGCAAACAAGCACTCGTGACTCATTGGTTTCCTTCTCTTCAACTCAAACTCTCTCTTTATTTCTCTAAAGGTTCGTTATCTCAGGATAGTCGTAGGATTTTATATCATATGATGAAATGGGCATCTAACGTCAACTCAAGAATGTCAGTCTAGGCACTTTACCCCCACAGTGGTTCTTTTGGATATTTAAATCTAAATGAACATACATAGTCAAGATAATCTATTGTCAAGGACTAAAGCTAACTCAAGAAATAATTTGAATCTTTCATTCTTGAACTGTAACAGATACTGAACTGATGAACTGGATGAACACTAGAATAAATTTCCACTCAGAAAAAATTGCCAATTATCTTCGATGTTTTTAGTTCAGAAACTCAGAATTTAATTGTTGGGAATCACCTCTCAACATTTGTCAAAGACCAGCACTAGATAGAATACAAGTAAGTAACTTTACATTTATACCCTGTTGCCTCTAACAACCCAAAAAGTAGCTATGGGAAGTCTCACAATGCCAGCAAAATGCAAGAAATTATGAGGGGTGACATTGGTCTTTGACAATGGAATAAGATTATACTCTCTTTGGATGCCTATTGATAAAGAGTTTAAAGGAAGAGAATACCAATTGATAAAGAGTTTAAAGATGTCCATTAGACATTTTTTAGGGAACTATAATATTGTATAGATTTCGGTATTCATTTCTTGTATTCAAGCTATCTCATCCTTTTCTGTAATTGTATTTTTTCAAAAAACATTACAAGTTTCTTAACCAAAAAATAATAATAATAATAATAATAAAATTGTGTAAGTGTCAATATTATATAAACCAGACATTTTAAGCACATAAGTAACTGCAAAATGTTGAAGAAATTGAATACGAACTCGTTTGAGGGAAAAACATTCTCTAGCATTGAACATCTTAGTAACAAGGGCAATATTAGATTAATTGTGTAAGCCAAGTGACGTAGAATGCAATGATCAAGAATGAGACTTGAGAAGAGAAGAAAATCATGAGAGAATATAGAGGAAGAAAATATGAGTATTCAATAACCAAGTCTAACTATTAGAATAAACAAACCTTCTTTATACATGGTTTCAAGTAAACTAATTTAAGTAGGAAAACAACTAAAGAAATAATATAAAGTACTAAAAAACTAATAAAATAAAAATATAATTCTAGTTAAACTAGAAAACTATAATAAACTAAAATAAGTTAATCAAACCATCTTCATTCCTAATCTAATAAGGATATATATTATTCTTATACTAATTCCCCATTGTTTCTTCCCAGTTAAGAAAACTCGAATATGACAAGGTAGATTGCAACTTCTTATCCAAGACGGTCGATAATCGAAAATGATACAGACCATACAAGGACTACCAAATGTGAAAAAATCATCTAAAACATAATCTGACCAAGCTCTTTCAATCAAATCAAATATCGACAATGAACTCAAAATCGCAACAATTTGTGCAACTCATCCGCGAAAATTGCAACGAAATCCACATTAGGAGGATAACGATACACTAGAATGGTAGACTGATCTACAGAGCTTGAATGTGCCTCGATAGGCAAATGAACTATGGGGAATGAATATAAGAATAGTAGATATCCTTAGTAGATTCAGAATAAAGATATTTAGATATAGATTAGTTTATTATAGTTCTCTAGTTGGCTTTATTTTATAGGTTATCTACTATTTTATATAAGTTGTTTTCCTACTTAAATTAGGTTACTTGGAACACTATACAAAGAGGGTTAATTCATTCTAATAGTTACTTTATTATTGAATAAACTCATATTTACTCCTCTATATTTTCTCTTGAATCTCTCCCTTGTCTTCTCAAATCTCATTCTTGTTCATTGCATTCTACATCACCAAGCCCAAGGTTAGTTAGGTAGTTGGGTCATGTTTCACGTTGACGTGATTCCAGTAGAGGAAGTTTGAAGAGGAAGGAGTACAACAAAATTAAATTGGTCTGTCGTAGTTTCTAAGGATCCTGTCCTGCAGATTTAGCAATGAAGAGAGCAGAATGGCAAAAAAATGATTCACATAGCCAACCCCAAATTTAATGGGCATAAGGCATATGTTAGTTGTTGTTGCCAAGCCCAAGGTTACTGGGAACAAATCCCAGGTTGTTCTTGTAACTGTAGCTTGTTATAAAGAACAAGCTAACTCCAGCTCGGACTACCATTGGTCCAACCTCAATGTGAAATGACAATCATCCCTAATTTTATTTCCCATAAGGTAATGGGCATAAGGCTTATGTTAGTTGTTGTTGCCAAGCTCAAGGTTACTGGGAACAAATCCCAGGTTGTTCTTGTAACTGTAGCTGGTTATAAAGAACAAGCTAACTCCAGCTC